TTAAATAAAAATTAACGGAATTTTTTCTCCGTGTACGAATAGAGTATGTGTATGTGAGGAGCCTTCCAAGTAGCGTCCAGTCAATACTCGGCAAGTTCATTCGCCCTTATTCCCAAGCCAACGATTTACTTACCTGCCGCCTCTCTTTTCTAATACATACATGTATATACTTTTGCTCTATATGTGGTCGCTCGTAGCTTTTGCACGCACCCAGAAGCTCCCCATAGGACGAGCCACGACTTTTATTTCCCTCGAAGCGAGAATAAAACCCCTAGTAATTTTAAAGAAACTACCCACGCGGATGTCAATTTCTCATCGCCATTTTTTATTATATTACTTTCTAAGAAAAATATATATATATTTATTTATCGAATTACCTTAAAAGTTTGCTCTATAAATTTATATATTCTTTTTGTTTGCAACATGCAGGATTTAACATTCATTTCAGTCGATGATAGATGTAACCTTTTTCGTTACCTGATATTATCGAATCAGGGTCAATTTGTTAGAGCATTCAATAGGTCATCGAAAATTTGGCAAACGTTCAATGCAGCGCTCCTGACTTTGACCTAAAAATCATCCTGATTAATTGACAACAAATTTGATCCTATAAATATTAGTATCTAGTGTCATCAGGATTTTTTGATTCGATTATTAAAAAACTCCGGGTTTGATTTTATATGATAATATCTGTTTTGAATATCTATTTACATTTAAATTGATATATGTTAATTCGAGAACTGACATTAATATTAAAATATAAGATTTTTCCAATTGACGCAATGTTTAATTAATCACATGAATTTTTGATTTATTTAAATTGAATATTTTGGTTAATCAATATGAAGTAAATAATACTTTACAGCGTAGTTAAGTTATTAAAATAATTCATTATTTGCTTTTAATTATAAAATTATTAACCAAATCGTATACATTTACTTTCATTCATTTATAACAATATATTGAAAATACACAAACTTCTTTTTTAAAAAATTTTTATTTAATATCCATGTGAATATTCTTTGTGAGGATTTTAATTACCACATTGCATCAAAAAATATATAAAAAAAATTTTATTTCAGTTCTCCCATGCAAAGAGCTTTTTTTTAAAACTATTTATTATTAAAAAGAACTTTAAAGGTTCACTTTTATAGTAATTCAAAAGAAGATATACTAATATGAATATTCAAACATTTAAATATGAAGAATCTATAGCTTTGATATTACAATTCCTGATAAAAAGTTTCAATTTCTATCTCATAATCAACTTTACATGAGATTAAAATCAATAAAATATCACTTTACGATCGTTATTCACCAATTAGCTCGATAGTAAATTTTGAAAATTCGAAAAAAGAATGAAGTGCAAAGTACCGCGATATTACTGATAATTGGCAATTTTAATAATAAAATAAAAATGCAAAAATGCAGTGGGTGATCTAATTAGACAATGACCTTCGCACAGTCTGATTTACATTTATCGTGACACATCTTGTGATGGTCGTCATGGTGACGCGAAGGGTTACGTTCTCTCTTCCGTACAAAGCTTATGGGGAGTAACGCTACAGGATGGAGCGTCCCGTTAGCTCGTCGAGTTGGAAGGGCTCTCGTTCACTAGCTGGTTGTTCGTGCATCCAAGCGCAAATCAGCGAAATGAAACGCGAGTGAACGAACGCTTTCTTCCGCGACACGTGACTAACCGGTGAACCACACATTTTTCAATCTTTTCTTTGATTTTATTCTAAGAGTTTGGTATATATATATATCAATGCACCACTATCTTCCCCAACAGTATTCTGAAGTTGCCTTTCAAAATAATCGATACAAAGAAGGGAATTAAATATTGCAGAAATTATCGATTAGTCTGAATAGAAGCAAAAATAAACTCAATGAGTTTATATAAATGAAATATGTGTGTTTCAAGTAATAAATTATCATAAAAATTGATGTAGTTTTTAATTAAATTCAAATAGTAGCTTTTAGCCGGTAATTTTTTCGACTCAATTAGAAATTAATAAATGATCGTTTTATGTAAACATGGGCGAGGAGGATTTTAATATGAGGAAAAGTGTAGGTGAGTTGAACAAAGCAACAGCATTTTATGCAGTCAGTATTCTTGTAATTAATGTGAAAAAAGTCATATGTGCCTTGGAGCACAGGCTAGCAAAAACATCTTGCGGTCGAGGGCGTTAATGCTCACGCGAGTTCGCGTGTAGTTAGACCGTCGACTGGCGAGACTACTCCCGGAAAATGAGCTGAAGTATCGATCCACCTTTGTTTCTCTTTGGATATTTTAGATAGGCTGGGTTTAAGTCACGGCCAAGTTGTTACAGAACGATTAGGGTAAGCCATCCGATTTCTAAAAACGATCAATTGTCTGCGGCAATGAATATTTATGGCTTTACTGGTCTATTTTTGTGAATGAAAGTTAGATTGCGTATTTTAGAATTGATTTTTTTATTTCCTTTATAGTAATTATAATTAGTTTGCATGGTGTGTTATCTATGTGGGAGATGGAACGACATGGTTTTTTATTTTTAGCTTTATTATTCTTTTACTTTTAATCAAATTTACAGTATTGCTTGGAAACAATTTGTTATGGTAAACAAACTAATTGATATAGGTACGTGTTCGGAAATATTAACAGTTGGAATGATAAAAAATTTTAAATTGAATAAGAAAAAAAATATATTCCAATATGGAAATGAATTTGGTATCAATTATTTAATGAAGTTTTTGAATTTGAATAATTTTTAGTATTCGTTGAACAATTTTTTATTGATGATAAATAATATACTCTACTCTTTTGAACGAAATAATAAGCAAAATTACTTGTATTATAAAACTAATTTTACTTCATACAAACTTTTTTTTATAATTTGAATAATTTTCATTCAGCTGAACTTTTCCTCTTACAAATGAATCATTAATTTTTTTTTCAACTATCAATTAAATTCAGTTTAGTAAATATTTGCCATGACAATTTTAAGTAAATCTTATTAAAAAAAAATTCTAATTAAAACTCATTGAAACAAACTTGCTGTAAAATTTTTCAAACTTCATTAAACGCAAATTTTCTATGAATATTTTTTGTTAATTAAAAAGCAACATTATTATTAAATCTCAAATAAAAACAATTGTCTTTATTTCTTTTGACTTAAATAAAAAGCACTTTATAGAGTCATACAAATTATCTCAGCTGAACTTTTTCATTTACAAATCACAATTAACTAGATGGCCACTAGAAGCTTTTAAACCTAGGATTCTGGTCATCTCACTGATTGTATGAATTACTGTGAGTAGATTTCGGTGCTTAAGCTTTGATGCTGAAGCTCTTGGTTATGTAGGAGTTGTGTAGTTGGTTGATGCAATTCGCTGGAGGCGTAAAACGTCTGACATAGAAAAGCATGCCAGCTGGGAATTAGCGAATAATGAGGGAGTGTATTGTACGCTTCTGACACGTTCCTATGACAATAATGCTATACTATTCACGTGACAACTGCCACGTGGCACGGTGACTCCACAAAAAAAAAAAGAACGCACCTTTTTTAAAAAGAAGAAATTTCTTTATATATTACTATAGTAGACACTCTTACATATTTTAAAATATTCTTCAATGCCTCAAAGAACCTTTTGATCATCTTCATTATCAATGAGAATTCATAAATTTATGGTGATAAATTGCATTGATTTCTTTTTAATTGGATTGGACGTTTTTATCATTCAATATTCATGTATTCACTTGACAGAACAGTAGAGATATATTTTTTTAATTAATTATTGTTTCACTTGTCCACTTTAAGAAAAAATTATGCCTCTAAAATGAACAAACGAAACACTGCTACTAAAATTACTTGTAACATTGTTAATATTTACTTTTCTTATATGAATACATTTTTTATTAAAAAAAAAAGTTCTTTCATCGTTTGAATTAATTTTTAATAATGAAAATAAAATATTTCAAGGAAAGTTTTCCATTTCCACAACATAAATTGTTGTTAATAATTTGTTTTCTATTTTATCATCTACTTTAAACCTGGAGTATATTTTGTTTTTGTTAAGTATAGTTTTTTCTTGATTTAACAAGAAATAAAATACTCTGGAATATTGTAAAAGTATTTTAGTAAAATTACTTCAATCAAATAATTATATTGACATGGATCTAAGAGTCTCATTTCTTTTACTCAAGACTTTTTTTTTCTGCAAACAAAAATTATTACTCGATTTATGTACTTTCCTAATTCGAACAAGAAGTGGATACATATCACAAGAGAGCTTTTGAGGGTGAATTTAATAACGTTGTTCAAGTTTTAATACGATCTAAATACTTTACATGGAGTAAATTCTCAAATAATCCCTCACGACGTTCTAAAATTCCATTGGCGCATATTTCGACAAGGTAAACTGTTTGAATTATTTTATTGGTTTATGCGCATATAACATAGTTCAATTGTATGACAAATGTATTCAGATGTAACATATTTGGTATTCTAATCCAAGTATCACATTTTTATGACTTTTATTTTGGAGCAAGTGTCTTTTTTGTAGCCTTTTAATTGCAATTTTCAAGTGAGTATAATATTTTTTATCACCAATCTATGATTTTATCAGCATTCTAGTGTGTTATTGAGACAATTGAGTGTAAGAGGGCAGACAACAGCATTTGTAAAGCTGAAATAAAGACAAAGAGTGAATTGTTAGTCGATGAAAGGGTGAGTAAGAAATAGGGAATGGAAGCCAGTGAAACAAAGCGATTTATTCTGTCAAGCAGTTATAATGCTTGTGAGCTGCAAATGCGTCAGTTTGCTTCACAAAGAGTTGCTCACTGTGGGATAGAAAGTAGTCTGACAACAGAAAAAATTACTCAGCATTTTGTCTGTATGGTGTAGTACCAAGCAAACAATTCATACACAGAAGCCTAATTGCCCTAGTATTTGACTATTTGTTTATTGGATTCAATCCTTTCAGCTATAAAAATATTATTCAGAAGGAAAAAAATTTGACAGCGGTGGGATTCGAACCCACGCCCTTTCGGACTGATGCCTAAAACCAGCGCCTTAGACCACTCGGCCACGCTGCCTCATAAAAAAAGATAAGACGTTAGAAATGAGTCACTCTTAGAATTGCCATTTGTTTTTAATATAAATATTAATAAAAACAATTGACAACAGTGGGGTTCGAACCCACGCCCTCTTTCGAGGACCAGAGCTTAAATCTGGCGCCTTAGACCACTCGGCCATGCTGTCTTATAGCTACAAAAATAATAATAGTAAATATTTACTCTTAGTATCGCTATTTATCAATCAATCAATACTCATCATTTCCTAAAGCAATTATTAGCAGACAATGAAAGGTTAGAATGATAATATTAACACATTTTCTACGTAAAATGAAACATTTTTGGAGTAATCATTGTTTTGGAGTAATTAAATAATATTCAAATAAAGTAGGAATATTTTTTGAGCTTATACTGATTGTAAAATCAACGAAAATGATTATCATCACAAAAAATATACCAAGTAAGCTGTAATTAAATATTCTGATTGCAAACCAATGACTCTAAAAAAATATTCCAGAGTATTTTTATGTTCCGAGAGGTTTTTTGGATAAAAAAAAAATGTTTGTCATTGAATGTTACCACACGAAAAGTGTTTTATTGATAAAAAAAACACGACGAATTAATGAAACAGCTAAAATGAGAGCAAAAAGTTGCATGGATAAGTGATTTCTACACAAGCTAATGTAGAATGAATGTCTGTCATATCCCTTGGGTGTTGTTGTCCACTCAACACGGTCACAAAATTCGTGCAGCTGCATTTCTAGCATCCATAACAGTATTGTTGAATACATGTCACGTCAAGAAAATCATTGTCCTTCTTTTCATGGTTTTCTTCATCTGTGGAAAATGAATGTCTTTTTGATGGTAATAAACACTTCCACAATACATTACTTATACTTAGAAAACATTATTTATAATGTCAGAGAGTCTCAGAGGATTTGCAGATGGTTATGAATGATATCGATCTTGCGGTAAAACTTTTCTAAAAGACTAAAATATTTTTATATAAAAATTTATACTTTAAGATTGCATGAAATATTTTTATATACGGATTTATAAGACTACTACATACGTATAAGGTCTTAATAAAGAGAGTTAAAGATATGGGGGAGTTAGAGAGAAAAAAAAACCCCGAGAACGCCAAGTCTATTGTACGCATCGTGGAAAACCCTCTAGGCATTTTTATTGCAATGCTTTCAGCTTCCGATTGTATAACTACCCTCGTATATTTATACTATATTTTGTATTTTTTTATATCCACACCACGCGATATTTTATGGCCGTGGATACTGTACAGCTCGTTATTATTAAGTATTGTTGCATTTGTAGGAATATGTCATTTACATCAAATAGTTTATACACGCTTTTGATTTTAAATAATAAAAAAAAACATGTGTTTTACTTTTTGCAGCATTTGATATTCTGTTAAATAAAAATACAACGAGTACTATTTTATTATTATAAAATTTAAATATAATAATATAGTAATGGAATATTTATTTATTATCAAGTATTATAAATAGCTGATAAAAGCATTTTTGTTGATTTTTATTTAACAATTAACATTTGTTATTAACTGCAAATTGATGTTTGAAATTTTAAAAAGTGGGTTTTTTTATTTAATAGATGACCCTCTCTTGCTGTTAGTAATTTAGTTTTTATTCTATTGTTCGTGTTTTTTTTTTTTTATTTTAATTGTGAAGATACTTTTGCAGTATTAATATCAGTGTGAATTATTAATCGAGAGCATAATGGATAAAAGCAGAAATACAAATTTCTAGATCGTAGCTCAAAGATAAGGTCATGTTGTAGAGATTGTCCGACAAGATCGGAAGCGAATATTAAATTGAAAAACTTTTTGAATTATTTTATGGATAACACGGTGTGGTCCTGAAAACGTTCCAGTAGATATATAGTTACAGATTGGCTATAGAGGAACGAATGAACATACTGTGAGTTCATTAATTAAAAAAAAAAAAAAAAAGAAAATTCACTCTGCTCATAATTAAAAGTTTTTTTTAGACTTTCAGTAATCTGAAGAATAATTGCTGCCGCCTTTTATAATGATCTTACTTATTTTAATAAATTTTTTTTGTTCATTCTAATGGTTTGGAAAATTTTTTAAACTTTAAGAAATTTTTTGTTTTCTATTCTTATTTATTAATAACATTGTTTTATTTAAAAAAAAGAATATAAATATTATTATAGTAATTTAAGATAATTTATAGGTTCGTAAGAAAATATATCCTTTGACTAAAAATTTTCTTAGGTAATTAAAAATAATTACAGCTGAAGAATTAATGAGTTATAAATTTTCTTACCGTATTTCATCTAGAATTTTCTAGTATAATTAAAATTTTTTGTAAATCTTTGTTGCAGGTTCATCGGTATGCTACATAATAAGAACGAGACAGTAGTGAAGTTGTTGAAGTGAAGGAAAAAGGTATGCATTAAATTAAAAATAATTTAGTATTAATTCTAAGAACATATGTTACCCCAAGCACTTTTAAAGATACTTGAAGGGAAAAAAAAGGAATAGAAACACGAGAGGGAAGAAAAAAATTGAAAAAGAGTTTGTTATCAAGGGATAAAATGGGGTGTGTTAAAAAGAATCGTGATCCTACTTGATGAAACACTTGATTCTGCACAATAAAGTGGTACTGAATCGAAAATAGAATCAAACATAATTTCACGAACATGTAAAAGAGAATAACAGCAGAAAATTAAAAAACGCATTTTTTGATATTTCTAATTGGACTGCAAATGAAAAAAAGAAGAAAAGACATAATTTTCCATACGAGATGGGTGGAGATGAGAATTTCCCATAATAAAAAAAAGAAAATGATAAAAAAATTTGAAATGATAATGAGATTCTAGTTTGCTTAGTAAAATGTTTGCGCATTTGGGTTTATAACATTTGCAAAACTAATTGCTGCAAACTATTTCAATTTGCTCTGGGTGATAATTATATGCCCGTGGAATAACGAATTTGTTTGAATACTCAACCATCGTGATTTTATGTAAACTGGTACATATAAGCGATGGTGGTCCTCATTTCTAGTTTACCCTGAATTTATATATTTGAGTAAATGGTATTCACCCTCGAGACTTGTCGGAGCAAAGTACTTGGAGGCAGCTCCAAAGGTGTTCTCAGCTTCTTATTTTATTCGCTCCGTATCTAATTACACAACGCGTTAGTGTTATTAGATTCTCTAGGTCGTATTATATATACAAAATTAATGGAGATGTAGACACTAAAGCTCAATTATACGTGTTTAAATTTGATCAATCATCCTAAATTAAACTTACTCTTGCGCTACTGTTTAATAAAAAAACATTCTTCCATGCTTTAATACATTTAATATCCAACCGTTAAAAGAAATAAATAACACCATACTCTCTCATTTTATCATTATTAAACGATATATTTCAAATAAGAGATTTATTGGCCATTAATTACGTTTACATACAATTCATTATTCCTGCATTATTACATAGACATGAAGTAATTATTTAAAATTAAATTGGTCAGAGAAAATTCTATTTCTTGTACAGTTAAATATAATTATTTAATTCAACATTGTTAAAGTTTAATTAATTAGGATTATTGTTAAATTATGATTATTTAGATGTGTCCTAAAAATCAATAATAGTTATTATTTTACAAATTGCTCAATCTCATTGAAGAGAAACATTATTGTCTATGAGTAATTCATTTATTTAATATTAATTAAGAGGAATATAAAAGACATTTTTTTTATTCCTTACCACAAGACACAAAAGCAACAAACATTGTGGACGATTGATATTCGTTACATCAATTGTACATTTGTCCAAAAATTTTAATAGCATACAGATAATTAAAAGCCAAAAATTTAATTATTACTTGATCCAATAAAAAAACAATAAATCCTAAATTTAATTAGAATTGAAATTTTCCTTCAGCAATTTTTTTTAGTCAAACATTTGATAATAATAGTCCATGTTATTAATTGCTAATTAAACTCTTAGATCTGGAAATAATTGAAATATTCCCACAAATTCAAACAATATTGCCCAAGCAGTGGAATCAAGAGCAAAGCTTTTTGCAACATGATGCTCATAGAACGCGATATTAAGCAGGAAAGTTTAATTCGTATTTGTAATCAAAATTGAATTGTAGATCAGAAAGATTTATGGGAAATAAAATAGTTTAAAATCAAAAAAAAAAAAGATCAATGACTCTCACACACACTTGGTGTTGGCTAGGATCCAACGTAAAATATATGATCTCTGCACTGACGTTGAGCACTGCAACCGCGCAAAATCAACAGCGAATTGCAACCACTTGGTTTTTTCTTTCCAAATTAAAGTTGATAATTGGAGGTGTAATGTTAATTATTTTTTATGCTTTATCCACCTTCATCATTCTCATGATTTCACAGTATCATCAGATTAGTCTTTTATCTTAGTAGACTTTTAGCTCTTAATCTTATTAAGCGTAGATTATTATTCTTGCCACGACATGACTTGAATTTACATGTATATGTATTCTTGAAGCTCGTGCGGAAATCGTAGATTTAATTAACTTCTGAATGGTAGACACATGCCTGCTCTCAATGACATTTAGAGTTCATTAGACTGCAAATCCTACATATTCAACAATACTCAGTTCAGTATCGATAAAAAAAAAAACAAAACTGTTGCAAAAATTGATACTACTTTTTTTGTTGTATAACTATTCAGTGATGTAGAAAAGTTTCTATTCGTTTTGAATAGTCGATACTTTGTAACAAAAATTTTCACAGATGGTAGAAACATATTCAAAATGATATTTTATTGATAGTCGTTCTTTTCTTTTTCCATTTAATCTAATTTTAATTTTAAGAAGATCAATTTTAATTAAAGGGAATAACTTATTTAAATGAAAGATTTTACTTTTGACAGTTTTAATCACTTTTAATCTTAAGCCTTATTACAGGAATTAAAAGTTATTTAACTGATTTTAGTCATGATTTTTCTTTTAGCTCATTTAAATGCTTCATTTTCAAACGTTTTTTCGACGAATAAGCTAATTCATTAATTTCGAAAATAAACTAACGTTTTGCATGGCTAAATCCGTTTTTTTTTATTTAATTTTATTTACTTTTAAGGAATTTACGTTTAATCGGTTTAAGTGAAAAAAATTACGAATTAACTAATGAGTAAAATAATTATTCTCACTGGAAAATTGAAATAAAAAATTTTTTTATCATTAAAGAAATGATTTAGATCAATAAAATAATCATTGGATATAATTTAAAACAATCAAAATAATTTTATCTTCATTAGAAAGAAACATTTAATTCAATCCAGTGGAAAGTAGAATTATCAGAGTTCACACCGGCACGTTTTCAGTAGTATAGAAACAATGGCTCCGTTATTGCTATAAATAGTCTAGTTTGTTCTACTTTCTTGCACTTTAAATTGCAATAAAGAACAACTTGAGTTCTTATAAATAATGAGAGATAATCGTATTAAAATAATAATAAGAAATCCAAGACCTAATTTTATAAGAAAATGGTCATTAAAATTTGTCGCAGCGATATCTCATTCATTCAGTACTCCAAATAAAGGCGTTTAATTGCAAAGTGGCGAATGAACAAAGTTGGCGAAAGGGCGGAAACTTGTTCCGGTGAGTTGAAAGCTCTCGGCCTTTCGGACGATATATTTACCATGGTGCATCACCGTGTGCACAAGCGAAAGCTTTAGTTTACCGACCATACTCCCTCCGTGAGGTTAACGGAGGTCAATTTCACACCGAGAATAGTGAGTGATAGCGTGTATTGCTATTAGACAAGCTACAGAAGAGATACCATCCTCGTTCTCTCCTCTTCCTCGATTCATCAATATAGGAACTTTAAAAAAAAATAGAAATAAAAGGGGAAAAAAATGTTATTGACAGATATTTCATTGGTAAAAAATTGCATTCACAGCATAAATGTTTGTGTTGATAACTCAATTTATCACAAATGTATTAAATTCTTTTTTATACTATACAACTACTTGTTATAATTATCAAGGATTTTTCAGTGACATTCCGTTCATCCAATCTTTTAAAACCAAATAAAAAAATTTTTTTATGTCCACCATTTTATAACAAATTTTCAAGAAACAAAATAAATAAATCTTATGTTTGTTTTAAGTATATCTTAAGTCAAAATAAAGGTTCATGTCTAAGTCTTTTTGGATCACTTTTGCCACTTTCAAAGTCTGTTTTAATACTAAAAATTTCTTCTTTCGGTTTTAATCTTTTTGTTGCCTCAATATTGTTATTTCTCTCATATTTTTTAAGCACTAAAATATACTTAAAGTAATATTTTTTTAAAACAGTTTTGTAGAAAAATTGATTTTAAGATTAAAGGCTTTGTAGTAATTAATTTAAAGTAAATTGTAACACCTAATCGAAACACATGATGAATATGTATAATGAATATGAGCAGTGAAAAATAATAATATTTAATTAATTAAAACTTACTGTCTCACAAATATTTTATAATTCAGGATTTATTTTAGAACTTAAAATCCATAGTATATAGTACTTATGAATGGCTTTTTGATTTTTAATTTATAATAATTAGGTAATTTTAAATACTTACAAATCAGGACTTAAAGTATTAAAAAAATACCTACCCAAGACTAAATTTAAATTTCAGCTTCAACTTCAAAATCTTCAATTTCATTTATGTTCTAATTTTTCCCTATAATTTAATTCCATTTTTGGAATCACCAACCTCATTGAAGATGTCTTAGACTGATCTAAAGAACTTTATTTCGGTCATCAATGCCATCATGAATTTGTATAACATTGCTTGTATGACATTAAGACATTTTTAAAGTTCAAAATAAATTTTATAAGATCTATTTTTAACCTCAACTTTGTTAAAACCGACGTGACAACAAAGTTGAAGTCGAAAATGGGCTTAGATTATATGTCTAGTGATGTACTTGAAATTCGAATTCCAACTTCAAAGTTGTAATTAAAGACTTTGAAGTTAAAAAAATATGTGGATATATTTCGACTCGGGATCTGAAATCATAGCAAAATTATTTCATGCACAATAAATTAAAATCGTAGTTAGAAAAATGGTTTTCAGTGACTACAATGGTGTAAAGAATAAATACTTGAAATTATATTTTCATGAAAATTTTTTTTGTAAGTACTTCATGTGAATTATTGAGGTCAACGAGGCGGGACTGGTGTTGCTGACAAACTCACTGACAATGCGCACAATTTTTTAGTATAAATAACGCTTTTATTTATATTTTTTCTACTGTCGTTGCTCTCGAGTTAGCAAATAATTTCCGCCACATTGAATATTAGGAATACCAGGGCACTGCTTTTGTTACGATAAATATTCTTCTATTGTCCGCACAGCTATAAATTCGAAGAAGTATTATAGGTATCTATTAAAAAATTTTATA